CAAAGTTGAGTAAAAAAACAACTTTAAAAAGTGAATTTTGCATAATAGGTCCACTTTAATGATTAAAAAAGTAGATTTAGATATGTCTACTGATTATTTTTCACTAAAAGCTCACCAGTTCCTTTTTTATTCAAAAATGCAATAAACAGATCACTAAGACATACCAAAAGCACCTCTCTTTGTCTCACTCTGTTTTCTTTTCTCTCAGGAAAAAAAACAATAAAGGGCAAAAAATGTTCCTGCTTTTTCTCTGAACCTTATTTTTTTTAGTCTAACCATTGTCTGTTGTACGTCCACATGCAATTTCAACAACAAAAGACAACAACAAAAAAACAACAACAAGCACAAGAAGTGCTTCTTGCTCAGGATGGGAGACKGCAACAAAAATTCAGTGAAATCTGCTGGCTTCCTTAAATTGATTGTTTGTTGCACAGTGCTCTGAGACGTTTGCTGTGACTTGGCAATRTATGAATAAAATGAAYTGAACAGAAATGCATACCGCCTGCRTGCCAAAGATTTAAACAAAAATCAATCAGTATGTGTCAACAAATCGCAGCCTGTGTGATTTGTTAGGTATTCAGCTATAAGCAAATCTTCTCCAMATCTGTAACACTGCCTGAGTTACGGCCATTTTTGTGTTTAAATTAACTTAGCTGTGGCAGCCATCTTGGATCGCGTTGACTCCAAAAGCTAGGAGTTTACATATTTAGTTCAAGTCTTTAATGGTAGATTAATTATATGTGCTCTTATTAAAACGTCACAATATCCAAAATATGGTGGTGCCCAAATATTTCCTGATCCAACACCATGAAGGCTCCAGGGGTAACGTATAGCATCATAAATACACCGTAGTAAAATATTCATGTTGACATTTGGCCCACCTGTGTCAGAGCGGTGGTCATGGCGGTTTTCCCCCCCATGCTGTGGCCGATGAGGACGCACTTGTCAATATGCAGCTGGCCGAGGAGGTGCTTCAGATCGTTGGCCATTGCCTCATAGGTCAGCTCAGGGGTGTGAGGGCTGTTTCCGTGGTTCCGGGCATCTACAGTCAACACCTGACTGGACAAAGGATAGTTAAGACACTCGGAACAGGGAACAAGAGGCAACAGAGCGAAAACTAAGCTTTTCATTAGTTTTTCCTTTCCGACTCAGGAGTGCCAAGCTGTGTGATGAAATAAAGTTAATTATCCATCAGTTGTTGGTTACAGCAGTACGACGGAGTATTAGGGCCACACGAGATTTTTTTTAAAATAATGAGAATAAAGCCGTAATATTATGAGAATAAAGTCGTAATATTACGAGAATAAAGTCGTAATATTATGAGAATAAAGTCGTAATATTATGAGAATAAAGTTGTAATACTTTGAGAATAAAGTCATAATATTATGAGAATAAAGTCGTAATATTACGAGAATAAAGTCGTAATATTACGAGAATAAAGTCGTAATATTACGAGAATAAAGTCGTAATATTA